TGTTTTGTAGAATGTATTTGAGTGCCATCTACACTTTTTCCCTCTTCTAACTCATATTTCTAAGATGCCTTTCCCTTAGTCTGGTAAAATTGACGTTTCGGGAAGATGCGACATGTTTATCCTAGAAAACTGACCTCGACTCCTAGCATGGACAGAATGTGGCTAGGATGTGTTTGAAGGTTTGTTTAGAAAGAGAGCTAGAGCTTACTCCACGTAGAGGTAAGTTCGTTTTTTACCTCGATGAAACGGTGTTTTTGTCCTGTCACGGTTAGAACCTCTGACAGTAGCTTCTTTCATGGTTTATCTAGTCAAGTTCAGGTGTTTTGATAGCTCTCTTAGGAAGGAGAGTGACCTCCCCACCTATTCCAGTTGAGAGCTTGGCCCTCACCTAAGGCTCTTTCCGGAGAGGTAGAGAAGCAGAAGCCGACTGATTTTCAAGCTATTTGTTCATTTGCTCTCTGCCGCAGGACCCTCAGCCCATTCATTCCTACCAGTGGAGAAATGAGAATTATTGGCCCAACCCCTGGCCCATCTCCCCCCAGACCAGCCCCCAGGGGACTCTTCTGCCTCTTTTAGACTGACCTGCCTGATTTTACAGTTCCCAACAAGCCCTCCAGCCCTGTTTTACTTTGCCCCGGGCTGAATTCCTCCCTGATTAGCACTGCTTACATCTTTTTACCTCTCTGTAACCCTCTCCCTCTGCCTTCCAATCCAAAGTTCCCTCTACCTTTCTTGAGAGTTCTCCCCAGACTCCTCTCTGCTACATACCCACACACCCTTTTCCAGAAGGGTTCAGTGTCTCTACTTCGGGCTCCAGCTAACCTTCGGGTCCCTCTCTAACTCCTCACGCCTCTGTACTATTTGGTTCCTTTCCTTTGGCTTCTGAGCCCTTTTCTCAAGCAGTTTTCCTAGATGCCAGGTTTCTCCAAGGTCCCCGCAAGACTTTTTAAAGGATTCCTTAGAGGACTGAAGACCGTTTAACTTTTTTTAAGATAGCAGTGGGCAGGGGAAGTTTGGGGGCAGAAGTTGGATAGCCAAGGCCTGAGAAATAAAGATAAGAGGGTGTACCCCTCCCCCAAGAGACAAAAGAGAAGGTGGATGGAGAAGGGGAAGTGGCCTCAGGCAGCATTAGAATGATGCTACCAGTTCTGTCAACATACTTAGGACAGACGCTTGCACCTGCGCCACACACCCACTCCCCGCCGCAGCTGGACCAGGAGATTTCGATCGCCACCTTTCTGACCCATCCCCCAGTGCCCCCGGGCAGACACAGCCACGCCTGCAGTGTCCCAAGCTGCCTGCCTTGCTGTGACTCACTTCCTCTATATGGGCTGCTGAGGTGGCCTGAGGCAGAGGACACCACCAGGCCTTCAAGCTGGGATTTACGTATAAGCAGGCTTCGTGGACAGGAGAAGGCATGGACCCCAGCTGAGGAAAGTCAGGCTGGCTCGTGCAACACAGAAGCCTATTTGGGTAAAGGAGTAGAGCACGGCTACTATGTGAGCAGAGGGATTCAGGTGCCAGGAGTTTTGGGGAGAAAAAGTTTCATAACAAGAGAGAAATACCCGGGAGGAATTTCTATGTGTTCTGAAATCATGCAATGCAAGATTTTGCAGAAAAGCAATATGGGGTTGGAGTTGAACCCGAATTCATGAGTCAACAGTTGAGGCTCTATATATTACTGCCTGTCCCCTATATACTCTACTAAGACGGACCCCAAATCAGCTATGCCCTCATCTAAGTAATGAAGAAAGCACAGGAGAAGTTAGGAGACCTGGATCTGGTTCCAACACCGTGGCCCTTGGGAAATCACTTTGCCTCCTGAGTCAGTAATAAGAGTAGACCAGTCATCTCCAAGAACCCCTCCAACTCTGAAATTCTAAAATTTAGAGCACAGGGGTAAAAGGTGATTAGTAAATTTGAAAACAACCTCAATCTGGCCCTGGAGTTGAACAAAACAAAACGCCAGGACAAAAGAAGTGAGTTTCCACCAAGTTTCAGTAGAGCATCTCCCGTACTCCCTCCTCACGCTCCTGGACCACAAGGACCGCTCTTCTGCCATGTGGTTGCCCTTCTGCGTACATCCTTCAAACGCAGGATTCAGCCTTGCTGATCTGCCAGGAATCCCTCACAGAAGTTCGGACTGGGGAAATAAGAGCCCTCTCCCTCTCCCTTCATTTCCCTCTAAACCTACTTGGAATGTGTGCCCAGAATGGACTCTGAAGGATACGGAAGGCCAAAGGCATGGGACTTGAGAAGACACTGTATTGGGGTAACCCAGCCTAGGACGTTTCCTGCAAGTGTCTTGAGGTCCCATTGGTCAGGGGGAGGTCCCTTGAGTAGGTGTCTCCTTGAGGCTCTTCTGCTGACCATGCCTGCCTGCCAAGTCCACCTAGGAACCTGATGTCCTCCAGAGACTGCACTTCCCAACAAGCGTGCGAAGGGAGCCCCTGGGTTATCTGTGGGTGGAGCCAGCGCCTCGGAGGCCTCAAGTGGCCACTAGAGGGCATTCGGCTCTCGGTGGCTTCTAATGCCCTCCCGTGGCCAGATTGAAGATTGGCAAAATAGAACTTGCAGAAGAGAGCCAAGACTGGACTCCATAGGGAGACAAGTTAACAATAACAGTTCCTTATAAAATAACATTGTATCAATATTTATTGTTACATATTAGTTAACATTTTGACATACTAGTCTGTGCGAGCACTCTTCTAAAGGGGCGCCTGAGGGGCGCCTGGGTGGCTCAGTTGTTAAGCGTCTGCCTTCCGCTCAGGTCATGGTCCCAGGATCCTGGGATCGAGCCCCGCATCGGGCTCCCTGCACCATGGGAAGCCTGCTTCTCCCTCTCCCACTCCCCCTGCTTGTGTTCCCTCTCTCTCTGTGTCTCTCTCTGTCAAATAAAACAAATAAAAAATCTAAATAAATAAATAAATAAAGGGGCACCTGGGTGGCTCAGTTGGTTAAGCATCTGCTTTTGGCTCAGGTCATGATCTCAGGGTCCTGGACTTGAGCCCCACATCGGGCTCCCTGCCCTTCCCCACTGAGCTTCTCCCTCTTCCTCTGCCCGCTGCTCCCCCTGCTTATGCGCGCTCTCTCTCTGTCAAATAAAATCTTAAAAAAAAATAAGGTGCTCTATATGTATTAATTTATTTCTCACAACAGCTTATAATATAAACACTATTATTATCTCTGTTTTAAAGATGAGGAAACTGAGCACAGAAAGGTTGAGGTAGGGGTGCATGGGCAGCTCAGTTGGTTAAGCATCTGCCTTTGGCTCAGGTCATGATTCCAGGGTCCATGATCTGAGTCCCACATTGGACTCCCCGCTCAGTGGGGAACCTGCTTCTCCCTCTGCCTGCCCCTCCCCCTGCTTGTTCTCTCTCTCTCTCTCTCTCTGACAAATAAATAAATAAAATCTTTAAAAAAGGAGAAGAAAAGGGGCGCCTGGGTGGCTCAGATGGTTAAGCGTCTGCCTTCAGCTAAGGTCATGATCTCAGGGTCCTGGGATCGAGTCCCGCATTGGGCTCCCTGCTCCTTGGGAGCCTGCTTCTCCCTCTGCCTCTCTCTCTGTGTCTCTAATGAATAAATAAATAAAAATCTTTAAAAAAAAATTGCCATTAATTTAAAAAAAAAAAAAAGGAGAAGAAAGAAAGTTTGAGGTAATTGCTAGTCACATAGGAGACTGGAATTCTGAGTCCAAGAAGTCTGGCTCCAGAATTTTTGCTTTTAATCACCATGCTGAAACTGAGTCCCATCTTCCAGGTTGCCAGGTAAATTACAGGATGCTCAGTTAAATCACAATTTCAGATAAACAACAAATGATTGTTATCCTAAGTATATCCCATGAAATATTTGGTTCAGACTTAATACCAACAAATTATTTGTCGTTTACCTGAAATTCTAATTTAACTGGGTGTCCTGTATTTTTTTTCATTCAATCTGCCAGCCTTATTTTACAAGGCATTTTTCTCTGCCAAATGCCATCACATATATTACCTAATTCAGTCCTCCCAGGAAGACTATTCTCAGGTGCCCAGGATGCTCCCTCCACACACTTCAGTCTCTCCCAATAGTCCCATTTTTTTCTCAGGTAAAGAAACAGACACAGAGACCTGAAATGACTAGCTGAGGTTACAGAACAGAACGAGTGGCAGAGCTGGGGCTTGAACCCACGTTCTCACGGCAAAAATTGGTGGATGTTTCCCAGTTTAACAGGAGACAAAGTGAGAAGCAGTGATTGCCACCAAGGAAATCTCCCTTCGTGCATTCTTAGGCCTGGTCTGCTCTGTGGAAGAGGGGCAGGTCCCTCCTCAGGGGCGTAAGAGAACCGGCGAGGGCCTTCCTTGGCGGGGAGAGGGGCAGAGGAGTGGAAACAGCTCTCCAGCTTCCGTGCCCAGCCCCCACCGGACTGGAGGAAAGCAGGAAGGAGACTGCTCCTAGGTCCCAGGCTGCGAGGCTCAAGCAACTACCTGCTAGGGGCCCCGGGGCTCCCAGGGCCGCTCACCTGCTGCTCTGTGCACTGGCAGCCCCAAGCCCAGCTGCAGCGGTTGCATCACTACTGCTAAAACAGTCCTGGCAGCCAAAAGGCACCAGAAGGAATCGAACACACAGGAACCCAGGGAGCCTCTCCCATCTCCCTGTTGCCTTTTGGGAGCATCCTGCTTCTGTCCACAGGGAACACTCTTTGCATTTTTCTCCCTTGACTCTGCTGATCTGTGCCCGCCCTCAAATACCTGCTCTTTCTTCCCCTGCCCTTCCCACCCAGGCTGACTGGCTCTGATAAGGTAGTAGTAGTCAGGGAGTTTGGGGGTTAGGACCCCCTCTGGGGTGCAGGCTGGGGTGCCCTGCTGGTATGTGCCCCAACAGGTTTTTCTCTATCAGCCTCTAAATCAGCCTGGAGCCTGTCTGACCTGTCCCCCCAGGGAGCTGGGGCCAGAGGCGGAGCCAGGTCAGAAGCTGGACTTAAAGCCTGGCCTTCTATGGTTCCCCCCTGGCCTCACAGGGGAAGCAACGCACCGAGCCTCTTGTGTCCAGCTGAGCTGCTGAGAGGCTGAGCAGAATTTTCTCTCCGCGGGCTGAGGCCCGGCTCCTGGGAGGAAAGATGCTCGCTAGGGAGGGGTTTGCCTGTGGGACCAGGTACGGCCGGGTCCTCTCCCACATTTGGGAGGGGCCAGAGCCCAGGCGACGGCTGGGCTGGGCTGCTAGAGAGGTCATCTGACTGGCTGCCCGGCCTGGGAGGCACACTGGCCAACCACGCAGAAGCCGGTGCTCACACAGGCAGTTGCCAGGCTGTGACTGCCACTCGCCCCCAGCACCTCCAGGTAAGCACTGGACCTGGGCCCTCAGGGGGGAAGGAGGAGGGAGAGCTTGTGGATCCCTTGGGAGAGGGAGAAAGGAGTTTTCTTTTTCTTTTTCTTTCTTTTAAGACTTTATTTATTATTTGACAGAGAGAGACACAGCGAGAGAGGGAGAACAAGCAGGGGGAGCAGCAGAGGGAGAGGGAGAAGCAGGCTTCCCGCGGAGCAGGGAGCCCGACGCGGGGCTCAATCCCAGGACCCTGGGACCATGATCCCAGCCGAAGGCAGACGCTCAACGACTGAGCCACCCAGGCGCCCCTGGAATTTTCTCTTTCTAATGTGAGTGCTTGCTCCCTTGTCTAGGCACCCATTTACCCGAAGGAACACATACATCAGCCCCGAGATCACACCTGCTGAGCTGAAGATCACTGCCAGAGACTCCAAGGAGGAAAGGCAGGCAGCAGGTAGACAGCCTGGTGGGCAGGGGGCAGGGGCTTACTCCTGGGCTGGGGCTGAAGGTGGGGAGATGTTTTAGAGGTTGTTATCTCCCACCCCACATACTTAATCCTGCCACATCGCCTCACCTCCCCTGCACCGCCCCAGGAACACCTAGCCAGGCCATCAGAAGGAAGGGATATGGATCTCAGAAGGGGGTCATCCACCTGAGACCAAAGTTTGGGAGCCTTGGGACCCACCCTGGAGTCAGGGAGGGTTTGTTTGGTGCTCATTCTAACAGCATTCCTGATCAATCCTTGCTTCCTGAAGGAGGGGTGAGAGGTGGGGAAGATGGGTGCTCCCCACTGAGCACCGATCCCAAGGGTACCCATGTCATCCCCTTACCCCTCCATTTGGGCTCCCAAACCTGACAAGCAGGTTGATGTTCTTTTTTTTCTGCAACATGGGAAAGGGCATGGGAGGTGGGCCTCAGGGTCTGGGGGTCATAAAGAGGCCCAAAGGGCAGGAAATTCTCCTCAGTTGGCTCCTCTTTCCCTCCCTGGGACAGCCAGTCATACCATGTCTGTGGCCAGTGGGAAGACAAGATCATCCCTGACCCAGGAGATCCTCAGCCACCTGGGCCTTGCCAGCAAGGTAGGGGCTGTGGTCGTTGGAATCGTTGTTACTATATCAACTCCAGGGCGGCGAAGGAATGGAGGATGGGAAAAGGGAGAGCAGGCCCTGAGACCATGCCAAGGGCCGTGCTGAGGCACTGGGGCAGGCATGTGTGGACCTGTGATGCTCCCCCCAACCCCCCACCCCTCATGCTCTTACAGACTGCAGCTTGGGGAACCCTGGGCACCCTCAGGACCTTCTTGAGCTTCAGCGTGGACAAGGATGTGCAAAGGCTGCTGAGGGCCATTGCAGGACAAGGTGAGCCCTTTTCCTTCTGCACCTGGGGATTCATCTTTTAAAAACCAGTCTGCAGGGCGCCTGGGTGGCTCAGTTGGTTAAGCGACTGCCTTCGGCTCAGGTCATGATCCTGGAGTCCCGGGATCGAGTCCCGCATTGGGCTCCCTGCTCGCCGGGGAGTCTGCTTCTCCCTCTGACCCTCCCCCCTCTCATGTGCTCTCTCTCTCATTCTCTCTGTCTCAAATAAATAAATAAAATCTTTAAA